CTAGAACATTTGCACATAGATTTTTTGTGGACCTATGTCTTCATTTCTCTTTGGTGTATAGAACGTGGGATTGCTGGGTTGTAGAGTAACTCTATAAGATACTGCAAAACTGTTTTTTTGTGTGGCTGTGCTATTTGCAATCTCACCAGCAGTGTATGAGAGTTCCAGGTGCCGTGCATTCTTGCCAGAATTTGGTATTGTTAGGCCTTTCTTTTTTCTTTTTTTAAAGTTTGGGCCATTCTCACAGATGCATAATAGATGAATGCCCTTTTTAAGAGGTAAATAACTACTACAAAAATCACAACATCACCAGTGGGACCAACAAATACCAACAGGTCATTCTCTGTTTTTGAAACAAGATCATGGGAACCTGCCACATGGGGAAGGATTTGACAGTTTCTCTGAACCCTTTAGGGCTAAGAGAGTCCGGAATAAATATATATATATATATCAGTGTCCCCAGTGAGGCCGCTGCTTTCCTAGAGAGGTTAAATCTAGTATGAAGCAGAAATCACACAGCATTGTGCTTCCCAAAGGTTAGTCAGCCCTCTTGCAGCTTCATCACGTTCCATGTAGGCTTTGCCCAGTTAGACGACAAGGTCCCATTCAAATGTTCTGAGTATTCACTCTTGTTCTTTTAACCATTCTCAACATTTACTCGTTTATCCAAACTATGTAGAGTGTAGGTGTAAAGACATGAGCCTAGATCGTGTTCCATGCTTTGCCATACCCCATATGCTGATGTGGAAAGAATAAGGTCTCTAAAATATCTTCTTACAAACCTGCTGTTAAGATTATATTTTTTGCCTTTTGATCTTTATAGAACATCACAGATTCCTACCAAATATGCTGTTCTCTTCCTAGGAAGATCATGTTCTAACAGGTCAATAATAGTTTATATCTCTGGAATGAAGATGGATTGTCTTTTCTTTATCTGAGCCCTCCCAAGGAACAGCTCAGATGCCAGCCAGGGTTAAATGTGGAGTTCACAACCATAGAGAACATTTTCTCCCTGTGCAAAACTACCTGGTTGGCAGAAGAATTAAACCCACAAACCTGAAAGGATGCTTGTTTCCTAAGAAGCAGAGTTGAATGACCCAGATGCTATTTTTGTCATGCCTGTTTTCTGTTAGAATCTCTTGCCTCCATGTTTATATAACCATACAGTAATATATAAATAAGAGTTTTATCCATCTTCAGAATGAGTTCATACATGTTATCTCATTCAAATCATACTTCATACATGTAAATGCCACCAGAGCCATGCCCCAGAAAGTTGTTTTCCAGACAGCAAGAAGAATTTTGTAAAGTGCCATATCTCCTTTTCAGTGCCACTTGGTAAGAATTGCTGTCTGTCCCACATGTCAGGGACTTGGGAGGGTGGGGAGGAAAAAAGAGGAAGCAGTGGTGGGAGATTATATGGGAAGGAGTTAATTCCCAAGAGAATGACTCGAGGTGGTCACTAGCTAATGGAGATGGTAAAGGGGTTCCCAGGCAGTCCCACAGTTTTAAGGTTGGAGTCATTGCCCCATCATCCTGTGCTTTCCCCTCCTTGTAGCTACCTAGTATTAAGACTCTTCACTCTCGCAGTTAAGGTAGCAAATGTGTTTTTGTCTTTGTTTTTCTTTTTCTTTTTCTTTTTTTCTCTTCTCATCTCTTCTCAAGACTGATTGATTGATTTGAGAGAGAGAAAGAGCATGAGTGGGAAGGGCAGAGGGAGAGGGAGGCAGAGAATCTAAAGCAGATGCCACACTGAGCGTGGTGCCTGACTCGGGGCTTAATCTCATGACCTCGAGATCACGACCCAAGTTGAAACCAAGAGTCCAGTGCTCAAGCGACTGAGCCACCCAGGTGCCCCTCAACTGTATATTTCTGATGTCTCCCCCCTGCCCCCCCCCCCACCCTGGCTCTTCTTGCTGCTGAGTACTCTGTCCTACAGAAAGGCTGCCTAAGTGGTTACTTCCCAGCAGTCTATTCAACTCATTCTGTGATATTTGACACCTGTGTGTCTGGCACTGTGCTGGACACTAATGATAAAGCCATGAGTAAGAGGGAAGAGTCCCTGCCCTCATGGAGCTTCTACTATAATGTCTAAGGTGACAGTGCCATATATTTGGCAATGATACTGCTTCCTCTTTTAAAAACTTGTAAGAAAATTGTTTACTGCATTATCGGCTTTATGAGTTGAGTGAAAAAATGCATACCTATTCTGATCAACCAACTCACAGCTTTAATATTATGATGATGTTTGACAAGGGAACTTTCTGTAGTTTGCAGTATTTCATTATATACACAGAATTTTAGTGACTTTGAGTCACTTAGTGGTGAGAAAAGAACTAGAAGTCAAGACCGCTGACCCCTTCTCACACATAAATGGTTCTTATAGAATATAACCTATTTGTAAATTAGGAATTTCCCAGTTCGTTAATTTTCAGTAATTCAGAGGCTGAAAGAATTGAGTTATCCAGGCACCTTGCTTTTTCTCTTCTATACTCTCTCTTTTCACTGCTCATTTGCTTAAGAACCAAGTAGAAAACATTTATAGATGTTGCCTGCTGAGTGTAAGACATTGATTGCAGTGGGCAGAAGTAATGGGGAAATGTGAAATTGGTTAGTTTAGCTATATGCTTTTTAGTGCCTTTGGAAAAAGATTTTAGTAAGAAAGGAAATTTAAGTTATAAGCTGTGAGCTAAAATTGAAGGTTTCTGTGAACAGATGAATGAACATATCAAGAGTGGTTAAAAGAATAAGCAACTTTCACTGTCTCTTATCAGAGTCACACAACTGAAGCTTAGGTCTCTCATTTCTTATCGTGATTCCTATTTTAGGAGAGATTGCTAATATTTTTTTAATCTTTCAAATTAGTACTAATCGGCGGGCAAGCATTTATGTATACTCGGCCCTATGAAATACATAAAAGAAGTGTACAGTACTATGCCTGTTCTCAAATGGCTTGTAAGACTTACAAGAGAAACACTAGTAGGACAAGCCGTGAATGGAATTGCCTGAGAGCAGTATCTCCTGGGTGCAGGTGTCAGTGAAAGCAGATAGCACTTGAGCCCTAGGCTTCCTAGGCTTTACAAGATTTCTTTATTGCCCCTATGCATTGTGTTCCCAAACAGCAGCCAATGGTGGTTTTTTTCTCTCCTGCTTTATCGAGATGTAGTGACATATACATTGGGTGAGTTTAAGGTGTACAGTGAGTGTGATGATTTGATACACATGTATTGTTTGGTGTTTAGCACCGTAAGGTTAGTTAACACATCGTTCAGGTCACACAATTACCATCCTGTTGCTGTCCTTAGGGCGGGAACGTTCGAAGTCTACTCTCCATAGCAACTTCAGGTTTACAATACACTGTTGGTAACTATAGTCACCGTCTTGTACATTACAGCCCATATCGTGACACTTCTCTGCTGACTCAGGCTTTCCTCCTGATGCTTGTAAACCTCTGATCTGTACTTGTTCCACCCCACCCCCTTCTCCCTACTCACTTTCTGATTCTGCTGCAGCCAGGCTCATCGCCTTGCTATTCTTGAAAATGCCTGGCAGTTAGCAGCTTGCTCTGGGTGGGGTTTCATACTCCTGGAGTTTCATCTCCAGGAACATTCTCTTCCAGAGGCCTGCCTGGAAATCCGTATTTCGAATTACACTCTCCCCACTTCTGGCCATCCCTATTCCCTTTCACTGCATCATTTTTTTTCCTTAGTACTTTTTACCATCTCACATATTTACTTATTTTTTATGTCCTGTCTCCCCCAAATAGAATGTTGGCTCCACTAGGGTAAGGAATTTTGTCTTTTTTTTTCTTACCACTGTACTCCTAGTATGAGAATAGTGCTGGCATGTACTGGGTGCACCAAAAAAGTATTTTTCAAATGAATTAATGTAATAGAAAGAATAGAAAAATGAGAATGACATTCTAGCTAAGGAAGACAGAATAAGCAGTCATGTAAGGAGAAATAGGAATGTGTTATATGCTGGGAGAGGTAGAAGGGGTGGGCCTAACTCTAACAGATGGCTTCTTCTTTGAGGACAGTTAAAAATAAAGTAAGGTCAATAAGATGGTACCTGAGACATAGGCCAGCAGGCATTAGCAACCAAAGGAGTTTGGGTTTGATGTCAACATAAACAGTTGAGTTATTCCAAGTTCCTAAGAAGAATGATCTAATAAATGTAGTTTTAGTAATATCAGTTGGGAATTGGTCTGGAAGGTAGATTGGAAAGGAGAGACACCGCTGCAAGAGAACCAGTGAGGTTATTGCAGTGCTGCCAACAAGACACCGTGGGAGAGGGCGGTGGTGGAAAAGAGCAGAGTGATGAGGACAGGTCAGATCTGTGGAGAAGTCGACAGCAGAAAACTCTAAATGATTGGTCACTGTACTAAATGAAGAATAAAGGAAAGTAGAGGTGAAGATAACACGAAAAGTTTCAAGACTGGGACAAGTGAGGATATTAGAACAGGCGGCAGCTGGATGATTCTGAGGGTTGCTAAAGTAAAAGCCTTCTCTGTCTCCTCTGTTCCTTCACTTCTTTCTCATTCCCCAAGGAAACAGTGCTGAAAACCAAATGTCTTTCGCTCTTGTCTTTAAAATCAGCAATAGCAGAAGGTAGACTCCAGTGGTCACACTTGTGTGGATTTAACGTATCTGTTGATAACAGGTGTCTGGTTTGGTGGGCCAGAAATGAAAAATCATTGCTACATAAAATTAAAATGTTTTATGTAATTCTTGCCAGTAAAATTTAAAATTGTCTTTCATTCAAATTTCCCTTCTCTTCTTTATCTTCAGCAGTAATTTTTAAATTCTTATTTCCTGTTTCACTGTATTGTAACATAAATAATCATAAATAATTTCCTTATCTCCACATATTCTAGTTTATTTAAATAAACTCATGTTCTTCTTTCCTTATAGAATTTATACCTCAAACTTTTAATTTCAGGATACCCCAAAACAGAATGAAAATAGAGATTTCACCTTTTACATTTCTCTCTGTTTCAGATTTGGTGTGAAGAAGAAGCCAATTTACATTAATGTCATAAGGGATCCTATCGAGAGGCTAGTTTCTTACTATTACTTTCTGAGATTTGGAGATGATTATAGACCAGGGTTAAGAAGACGAAAACAAGGAGACAAAAAGGTAATATTTTAGTTTTAGGATGTTTACAAAGATAATTGTTTATCAACTGCAATGAACAGTGTGCTTTTAAAAAAATTTTTATTATTAATGTACTACTTGCTTATTGTGGAAATTTTGAAAAGAACCCAAAAGTATAAAGAAGCAAAAGTAAAACTTATAGTTGATATTTTGGTGTACACATAATTTTTTGTTCTTTCAAAAAGATACTTTACTCTAGTTCCAGGGCTGAATATTTCTCTTACTATAGTCCTAACAATTTTCTGTGAGACCGTTGTAATTCTTCATTCATATGAGGAATTTTGTGTATTGAACTTCGGTTCTTTTAGTCTCGATGGTGGCAGTTTATATTGATTTGTGATTTATGCTCATCGATTTGGGAACACTGTTTTGCTGAAGCAGCTGGGTTTTTTTTTCAGATGAGGTGAGAATAGTCCCAGAATTCTTACTTATTAGCAGGTTCAGAATTGGGTTGTCTTCTCTTTAAGTGCATCCCCCAGAGTAGCACCAGTTTTTATTTTCCTGAGAAACCAAACTGATGTGTCACTTTGCTTGTGGAACACCTTTACTGGGACCCCGTTGCTCACAAGTTGGCTCAAAGCACAAGAGACAGTCTGACATAATCTGAGACTGACTTCTCCTGATGCCTTTTCCCTCAGACGCCCAGTGCTTCAAGCGGCCACGAGAAGTGTTGCTGTCCTCCATGCTTACTATCACCATGTACTTTGGGCACATGTGTTGTTCCCCATATTTAGAATGTTTCTCCTTCACTCTGGAAAACTGTCCACTTTTTAGGGCCAGCTCAGATGTTAACTCTTCGGTGAAGTCTTTTCTGGTGCCCCAGAGGCAGTTAGTCATATTGCTTTTAAGGCTCCTGGAGCACTCCATTCAAACCCCCTTTTTAAAGCATTTATTTGTGGTATTTGAGTTATTTGTTTCCATATGTCTTCTCCAGGAAGTTCTGAACTTCCTGAAGCGGGGGCTAGATTTCATTCTTCCTTGTTTCTCTAGTGTTTAGCACAGTGCCTAGTTCATCTGGTAAGTGCTTAGCAAATGAGTTGAATGAGTGAATTCTGCATCTTTTGAACCTAAATCTCATGATGCGAGATACCTGATATAATAATTAACATCCAGCAATTAATTTTTCACTTAAGTTTTATGTGCCTTGTGTGTCACATGAGGAGGTGATTTATTTTGTTTTATTTACTTTTTTTCTCTTTTCTAGAAATTGCTGTTCCTTTCCTTAGTCTTAAAGCTTTAGGCACAAGGTACTGATCCAAACACAGATAATTGACCAGACCTTTTGTGTTTTTTTGGGGGGGGAGGTGGGAGGCGTCCCCTGATCTCTTAGTATTAGTTAATCTTCTAAAATGTATATATATACTTAGGTTATAATGGTGATTCAACAACATTTTATAAAATGGAATAATACAACTCTTGTGATCTAGTACTTTAAAATTTGTTGATAGTTATTTCTAAATTCACTCCAACACTTCTTCACTTTCTTCCCTTCCTCCTTCCTTCTTGCTTCTTTCCTTCCTTTTTTTTTTTTTTTTAATTTTAGCCCTTTGATTTACACTGTTTTTACTTGATAGATGTTAATATCCATCTCTCTCCTTTGACCAAAGGAGTATTAGTGTGGGTAAAGAGAAGATTTGCAGTCCCATTGGTTCCTACGTGCACCATCTGTCACTGTCAGTCCTGGGTACCCTGGTTTAGTGGTGGCTCACCTATACAGTTTGGGGAATTGGGTAACAGTAACGCTTAATATAACCCTATTAGTTCACATCTATAACAAGCACTGTTTTAATTTATATGTATTTTTTCAGGTAGCCTGTACAATGGTTCTGTGAGGTAGCTGCTGTTATTGTCTCTATTTTACAGATAAGGAAACTGAGGCACAGAAAGGTTAAGTACCTTGTCCAGCGTTGTACTACCAGTAAATCGTAGAGCTGGAATTTAAACCCAGGTGCTCTAATTCCAGAGCTCACTGTCTTAAGCACTCTATTCCCTTTAAAAAGGAGGTAGGGAATACAACATTCTACCCAACATTTGTGTATGAAAGATGTTCCCAAGTTGCATTCTCAATACCCACAGAAAAATTCAGGCAAATACTTTAACATCATTTTCCTTTCATATTTGAAATATTTAGGTAGATATGCCCTCCGAACCTGGAGCCTTAACCATTCTTCACCCTGATAATGATAGGGTTTGGTTTGTTTTTGGTTCTGTCTTTGGTTTTATGTCATTATAAAATACATATTAATATACCTGTTTATTTAGATGTAATATTAGTAAATCAGCAAAATACTTTTATATTACATTAATTCTCATGAAGACAGGGCCATCTACAAATGCTTTATTAAAGAGAACAATTACTTTGCTTTATGATAGGCAAAATGGACCTTTTGGTCTTGAAATGTATTTGAAACATACACATTTTTAATAATTTGTCTTGTTTCTCATGACACAAGTGTTGGCAACATTCTGGGACCTAATTAGTTAAATAATATTGTTTTATTGCAAATAACTCCATATCTTTAACTGGAAAGAGCTTTCATTCATTAATAAACTCATATCTATAGAGTTGATAAGACTGGATGGCATATAATATTTTTTAAATGGCAGCATATTTGAAGATAAGAGCAATTAAAAGGTGGCTATGATGACATAGGAAGTACCTGGCAAAGGTTGGAAATACCTTGCATTGGCTTCATTTCCATTAAATTGTATTAAGTGATACTTGGAAGTGTATTAGGCAGTTTTCAGCTCAGCACTCATGGCAACTATTGTGTTTTAAACTGCAGTACCTGATAATCTAAACTGTCAAACAGTAATTTCAAACACATTTCAGGGACATGTATACTTATGATAGATTTCAGCTGATCTTGTAAGGAACAGAAGATTTGTTTTATTTGGGCGATTTCAAATACTCTGTTCTTTGTATTTGTGACTGGAGGTTTACTTAGTATAATGTCCAGGACCTGGAAAAGAGGTATATTAAATAATACAGAGGCAAGCATTAAAGAACTATATAGAGAAATCAGTGATTCTCAAACTTCGTAGTCTTAGAACTCCGTTTACTCTTAAGTTATTGGGAACCCCCAAAGAGCTTTTGTTTGTGTGACGTTTGCCAATATCAATAAATACACCAGTTTACTGGGAAATTTTAAAAATACTAATTTGAAAGTAACAGTAGGAAGCCCATCATATGGTAACATAAATAATGTATTTTAATGCAAATAACCATTTTTCAAAAAAGTATAGAGTTGTATTTTACATTTTTGCAACTTTTTAAAAATATCTGGCTTAATGTAGACAGTTGGATTTTCATATCTGTTATTGAATCCATCTGTTGAATATGTTCTTTTGGTTGAATGTATAAAGAAAATCCAGGTTTACACAGATATGTAATTGGAAAATGGAGGATTTTAAGACCCTTTTTTAGAAGATTGTGGGTGTTCTTTAATACCACACTAATAAGAAATCTGAAACCACAGCAGTGAACTTTTTATGTTCTGCTACATTAAAATCCATTTATATATTTTAAAACACTTTGAATGGATTTTTTTAACTGAGCATAATTGTATATCATCATGCATTGGCCATTGGAAACATATTCATACACTAAGTTATGTGGACCTTCCAGATGTTGACACATTTTATTATACAATATCAGAAATTGACATTCATTAAATCACTACAGATCTCATCAGAGAAGTCTTTACATATTGGGAAACTGTCAGACTTATGGGGGCAGATTGAGTTTTCCAAAATTTTTTATTTTTGCTTGAAAGCTTAACTTTTGTCACCAGCTGCCACAGGATTTCTTAGCCTCGACACTATTGTTGTTTTGGGCCAGTCGTAGGGGCAGCTTGTACACGTAGGATGTTAACCAGCATCTCTGACCTCTAACTAGTAGTATCCCCCCACACACCCCAGTGGTGAGAACTGAAAATGTGCACAGACCTTGCCAGATGTCACCTGCTGGGTCAAAACAGCTCCATTTGGGGACCGCTGGGCTACCAACACTGTCAGTTGTTTTCTGCCAAGGGGCAGGTACACTTTGTTCATTTTGAGAAGATGTCGGCCAGGTACCCAAGTTTGAATAACTTCAGTTCTTTGTTCAATGTAGGGCTTCTTATGGCTTCTGAGGAATATTAACTGTGCCTATAACTCTCATCACTCACATTTTCTTAATATTATAAGTATTTTGGTTTTGAACTGCCCTATAGATTATTAAATATTTTTTACTAACTGTTGTTTTGTTAGTGGAACACCAAGGGGGGGTTCATATTTCTAGAAAGAGTAAATAGTTACATGCTCTAAATAACAATCTAAAGGAGAATCAGTTTATGTTTATTAAGAAGTACATGGGGTGGATGGGTGGCTCAGTGGGTTAAAGCCTCTGCCTTTGGCTCGGGTCATGATCTCAGGGTCCTGGGATCAAACATCACGTTGGGCTCTCTGCTCAGCAGGGAGCCTGCTTTCCCCTCCCTCTCTGCCTGCCTCTCTGCCTACTTGTGATCTCTCTCTGTCAAATAAATAAATAAAGTCTTTAAAAAAAAAAAAAAAGTACTCATTGCTCTTGGGATTACAGTTCCTACTCCAATTGTATTTTTTTAAATTTCTTACTCTAGATTAACTAGACTTATTGACAGCTATAAGTATTATAGTGAATTTAGAATATTCTACCTAAAAGTATGTATTAGTTTATAAAAGGTAGTAATGAGGTTAGAAGAAATCCATACTTCGTGCTACCTGATTTTCTCATTAACTTACAAAATTCTGCCTCCACCGTTCTTACCAATTCACAGTCCCCTGACCCTTGTTTGTTTATGGAACATGAATTTTACAATTGTGTCTCACAAAGGCATGTGAAAAAGTTATTATTTGGATAGTTAGTATTTTATATGTAAAAAGCATCACAGGAAAGCAATATAATTCTTTACAGCTCATTTTTATTTGAAAGCTTCAGATAGACCAGTATTCTCTATCTCAGT